GTGGCAACGTAAGATCGTTGACCTCTGGCGTCAGTCGCGACAGGCATATTGATAGGCAATATTCATAAAAACTGTATTTCCGTGGTCGCGGTGCACAATTTTAGATACAAAATCCCCTCGTTTGCCACATGGCCGACTTCACTGTCATGGCGCCAAGGCACAGTCAACAGACTTTTAGTCGGACAGTCTGAAAGATATATTCGAACGGGGCACGTTTATTACTGTATACAGTACAGTATATGTATGTATTATGACAGCAAAAGCATGTATGTGTGTCATAAATGAAAAAAGGACAAAAACAAACTTGGAAACATGACGAGGATGACGAGCTTGTCACGTGAACAGCCACTGATGCCTGACGAAGCCACCCTGCAAGGTTGGCATTTACTCCGGTGCTTATACCGTATTTCACTGAATATATTATTTGCAATCAAAAGCCATTACTTAGTTCTGAATTAACTACCTCATAGAAGGAAACTACTGTTTAGATGTTAGAGGTGTCACAAAAGAAACAAATATAAGCATTAAAAAAATGACCGTTTTGCCTCATATTTGTTTACACAAAAAGTTGTTTTCTCCAGACTTCGGACAAAGTGGAAGAATTTTTTTCAAGCTTACCTATGTTCTATTTCCGATTATTATAGAATGGAAACATGTCGAATCAAACTGTTTTTCTGGCGTGAGAGTCAATTCTTTCATTTGGTAGCCTCGATGTAAAAATAATCAGAGAACAGAATATTCTGTGGGTCTTGAAAAATCTGTCAAAATCACTGGCACTCAAGAGTTGTGACCAGTGCAAACGGCTGGCATTGAATAAGTGACCGGGTTGATGTTGCTTGTACTGTATTAATTTGAAACTAAATACAATTTCTATCATCTAGTGGTATTTCAAGGTACTTTCAATAATGATCATAGTACTGTACTGTTGGGGGGGAAAGTGGCCTCCTTTCCCCCGCGTGTTCGTTGAATTTCGGACGAGGAGAATGTTAGTAATCCAAAATACAGGCTGGAGTCGATGAACAGTTTCTTCGAAGCTTTTAATAACAGAATATTCCGGGCACCCGCGGTTTACAGACAATGGCTGCGTGTCACGATTGCGAAGCATGAAGAGATTCACATCATTTTTATATCACCAGAAGGGCGGCACCAAAACTCAAGGTGTGACATCATAACTTTCGTTTCTCCTAAACCGATTCTCAGCTTGTATCAACTAGTGCATTCCAATGTTTGTGCGTCTCCAGTAGGGAGTGTTCCAATTCTAGCTCATGATTGTTACAAGGACGCCAAGCTACGTTGCGGACATGGGAAAGTTATACAGCATGACTGAATATGAGCAGCATACACATGTGTATACACACTTTCACCCCCCAACAGTACAGTACATATTTGTTAAATGTGTTTGAATATTTTGTACACACAGACAAAATATTGTGTCAACCGTTACAGTCCTGAACAAATTGCAAAGCAAATGCCACAATTTTCAATTCATACATCATTGTTTGATAATCAACGTGATCATGTTAGACTTGCTTACATCAGGGGCCCTTTTCGTGTGTACTTTTACCTGTCTTTAAGCAGTACAGTATTACAGTCGATCTCAAAAGGAAAGTCAGAGAACCATGAGCGAAGACTTCATCTGAGGGAGAGAATAAGCGATTATGAATTTACCGGTACTAGAATTTTTCTGTTGTGGTACATTTACACACCCGTGCACTAGGTTTTATTTGCCATTAGAGCTGAAACTGTACGTGGTGATAAAACAGTCCAGTCTCCGCAACAACGTATTGTTTTAAAAATACAGTACAATTACATGTTTGAGGCAGCTGGCGAAAGATAATACTCTCATAAAACGTGGTCGGGTGTGACAATGCATAAGAAACAATGGTTTCATATTCTACAGCTCTTCCCCTCAACACAAGTAAATTAGCTAATTATAAAAGCTTAAGTTTCCGCGTGGGAAACTAGCTTAGATCTCCGCCATACGCTCCCCAAAACAACTATTTAACAACGACAGTGTTCTGTATGAATGACAGAATCAACTCTTAACCCAGATATGTACATTAGTGAAAATAATCCGTTCGGGGAATGAATTAATAAATGAACAATCTTACCTCACTTTCAATTCTCCCCATCATATTTTGAACGGCAGACCTCTTTTTTCTTCTTCCTCGTCTTAAATTTAGTTGATTTGCGAGGTTGAGCCAGCGTTAAGGTGCATTATCGCCACCTAGCTGGTTGGAGTGTTAATCACGAGACTCCAAATGTATTAGAATGACCAGGTGGCAGGAAATGAAAAAAAATACTTGCCATTCTTTTCATTAAACTATCCATCCGTCATCTGTAACGCTTTTTCTCACGGGGGTTGCTGAATTATTTTAAATGTAATTAACTGGCAACTGGCACAGTTGCTGATGCGTATCACTTGCTTTATTCCCACAAGCGGTAACAGAATGTCCCTTCATTCGGGAGCTGCTATCAACCGCAGCTCATGTCCAGTCACCCAACATACTGTCTGCCTGCTTAAACCAACCTTCAGGCTTATGTGACACTCCTACCCTTATATCTGCAATATTCCATTGATTCCTTGATTTTCTGCTCATTTGCTTTTCCTGCTCAAAGACATTGCATACACACGAGGCAAACAAAAAACATCATTACAATAGGATTATGGGGTGATTACTGTATCTGTAACTGTGGTGCTGTGCTCCTTATTTCCTAATCCAATTTTTTTAGTGATGTGCCGTGAGATTTCGCTGATGTAAAGCCCGAGACTTGGCTGAATAAATGTAGATACGCACTACTTTGGATGACTTTCTGCTGCACATATCCGTTCAAAACACACCTCGTCCATAATTGCTCAGTGCTCCTATCTGGGCCTGATAAATTTTTGCATGATGCTCAGGTGGAGCCCCATGTTTTTTTCTGCCAACCATTTTAAAAATTATTCATCTTTTTACATTTCTCCTGAACCAGAGTGTATTGTTTTCAGGTCAGCTTTCCACCAAAAAACATACCTGGAAATTGCATACTAACCTTTTGGCCGTGTAATATTTCCTTACATTTCCTTACATCCTGATGATGTCTGAAAAAAAGCCATCTAACTTCCACCCCCAATTTGACCAGTCCCATACCACCTCAATTGCATTTTCTCTTGAATTAACTTTAAATTTTGTACTTGTGTCCAAAGAGTCCGATCAGATGGATTTTTATTTTTCAGTTTATCAAAGATGTCACTGGCCATTATACTAAACTGTACTGGACTGCAAACACTACCCAATGGGGTACCGTTTTCAACTCTACATACAGTATTTTTGAGTAGTGTGTATGCACCCTGACTTCTATTTTTCAACACCTGCTTATACAGTCTCCCACCTAAATTACTTCTTTTGATTAAAAAAAAAAATACCACATAGTCTTAAAATCCTACTGACCTATAACACTATACAACACCATGCCAACTTTCCCTGGTGTTGATTGTTGTGATTTTGAGACTGCTCTTACACCCCATGGCAAAACTTATGGAATCACTAGTCTCGGAGGATGTTCAGTCATGTTTTTTTGTAGTTTTGTAATTTTGTCGAAATAAAAGATGCATGACACAAAACTGTCATTTCAAATGGCAACTTTCTGGCTTTAGGAAACACTCAAAACAATCAATTTAAAAATGTGAAGGTCAGTAACAGTTGCATTTTTAGACTAAGCAAAGAGAAAAAAAAAAACATTATTTCTGCACGTGCGAGTGTGATGAACTATGATATAATCTCAGGACACATATAGTCCACCATCAGCGCTACAAATTACCGTGGCACTATAACATGTTATTCTAGTTAGTTGGATGTTCTCTAGAGCAACTCATTTTTGTCACGGGCCACAATGTAGTTACAGTTTCCTGTTTAATCACCCCTTGTAAATGTTACATACATAGTACAGAATTAATGGATCACTAATTTTAAAATCAAAAGTCAAGGATAATCGTTTGTTCAACCGTTGTTCAAGTTTTTGTTCATCGAAAATGCTTGCAATATCTCAACACTATTTATTACATACGTATGACAATTTGAAATTTTGATACAGATTTTTAGCAAGCATCATGGAATTTGACCTCCATGATTTGGTTTCACGGGCTAGATCTGGCGCCCGGACCTTGAGTTTGACACCTGTGCTCAAGATGCACTGTCACTGGGGGATGTTCAAAGCCTTTTTGTTCAGCTGTCACTCATGATTCCATGCCCCCAAAGCCACATCAGGGTCAAAATTCTGAAACTGAAAAAACGGATTTGAAACTGAAAAAACAGTTTTTTAAACCGTAATAAATAAGATATGAATCAGAAAAGATAAAACATACAACTGAAAAAAATGAAGACCTCAAATATCAAAATATACATGGGATTGAATATTATATTCAGAAGAATTACGAAAGAGAATCAATATTATATTTGACCTAAAAAACATTCACACACTTATTTTGAATAAATTGTTACATTTTTACTAAATTCAAGATCAACACATTAATTTTCCAGTTTCAAATTTTATTTTTTCCAAGTACAAAACTTGTGATCCCAATTTAACTCCATAAAGTCCACAATATTTTTTTTTTGGATTGGTAGGGTTCAATAGGACATTAAAATGCCCAGATACATTTTCATTTTTACCAAATGTAGAGAAAATGTCTTCCACCCATTTTTAAGTGATCAATACTTGAACCAGGCGCTCTCTATATGCAGTTAATTTAACCCTTTCATTCACCCTGTACCTTGATAACATGATAAGCTGTCCACTGTAGTAACCGCTGTCCCTGAAAGGGTTAAACATTTGTCATATTTCCCCAAGCACAGCTGTATTGTGACACATTCAAAACTTTAGCTTGAAGAACTGAAAAGCATGCTCGACTGGGGTGAGCGCAGGCCCCTCTGACAAGGTGCAAACCTCGGGGAACATTTAAAGTTCAGGAAATCACACCGGGGTTGTTTATTGCTGAAGCGACTCCTGATGGAGGTAACAAGATGCATTCCGAGGTGTATAGTTCTATCCTGACCAAATGGCTGTCAGTCCTATGGGAAATGTCCTGTTTTTGAAAGAACTTCTTCAAGATCAAAGTTCACATTTGAATAACTTTTTTATATCTAACTAACAAATTCACACATTCAAAACTTTAGCTTGAAGAACTGAAAAGCATGCTCGACTGGGGTGAGCGCAGGCCCCTCTGACAAGGTGCAAACCTCGGGGAACATTTAAAGTTCAGGAAATCACACCGGGGTTGTTTATTGCTGAAGCGACTCCTGATGGAAGTAACAAGATGCATTCCGAGGTGCATAGTTCTATCCTGCCCAAATGGCTGTCAGTCCTACAGGAAATGTCCTGTTTTTGAAAGAACTTCAAGATCAAAGTTCACATTTGAATAACTTTTTTATATCTAACTAACAAATCAGCCGGCCATCCATTATGGTGGGATGGCAAAAACTCCATGATGACAATCTATAGTGAGCAACTCTGCCTGTCGAATCACAACCCTGAATACCCATTAAAAAAAAAAAAAACTGTGTGCAAAACCTGATTTTATTTCTATTTTACATGTGTGAAGTCAAACCACTCACGATGTACCATATCTTAACATATCACCATCTGCTGTACAATAAGTAATAATAAACACAGTAACAAATTTTCAAACAGATCCCGCATCTCACAGTCAAACGCGGTCATTTCACATGAACGTAACCGACATGTGACCACTTGGGTTTTCAGCGTCAAAGCAAGGAAATCATTTGTGCCTTGAATGCAAGCGGTAATACTTGAGGGAGTTACTTGGTCTCACCCAGCGATTCTAGGTGTTTGTGACGGCAATTTTTTTTTAAAATCTAACACAAACTCTGTGGTAGAACAGGTCGAACAAATTGGAATTCATCGGTTGACAGCAAAGAACAGCCAGACGTTTCCAGTCAAACGAATACACAGTGGTACACATTTCAGTCAAATGATAAAATGTGGAAGTCAGTGACTGCAATTATTAATAATAATACATTTTACTAAAACTATTTTTGGGTGGCAGAATAACTGACAGATTTAGTGTCAAATATCACATGTCCCCCAAATTCTAAATAAATGTAATTTGTCTTGGAAATCAGCAAACACCCAGCCTGCCAGGTAAGTCCAATACTGGGTGACCACCTTTGAATCCAGATATTTTACTGTGACTTTAAAAATGGTGTTTTTAAATTCCAACTTATTTCAAATTCATTTTAATAATGGCAACCACAAACACCTATACAACATGCTTTGATCCAACTTGAATAAGACCAAGTGCACTTTGCTTCTCTAAAATGCATCACATTCTAAATGACAGTACAGGTATTGATAAAACCTTGAGTTATTTGGTCATAAAGACAAGAACAATTTTTTCCTGAAGGATTCAAAAGACAACTGCAATTAGCTAAGAGGCATAGAATAATGTGGATTTACCAATTATTAAAACAAGAGAGGAACAATACATTTCTGTCAGATCATATGGACCACTGTGCTCAAATGAAAGCCAGACTGAGGAAGGTTATTGGATGAAAATGTTCCTAACACCAAATGTGTTGTAAATCTGACAAGAAACAAATGTGAGCGGCGCCGGTCTTAACACCCTTGTCTGGAGTGACAGGTCGGGGGAAAAAAAAAAAATCAGAGAGCTCATAGATCGTATGCCAGGAGAGGCATACCACTTTGTCCGCCCATGTCAGAAGTCAAAACATCTCATGATGGCATCTTTGTCGAATTTAAAACTGAGGAACGTTGTGGATGACAAAAGGTGCTCCGTGGCTTTTTGCTGGGCAGTCTGTTGACCATTCAGAGAGCTGCATGGATTACCATCTGTGGAAAGACACATTCGTTTACAGCATACACCAGTACTCGAAGACATACACTCACACTTGCACTGGAAGAGACTTTTCAGGCACGCAATATGCGACAAAGTTCAAAATTAACCCTTTCAGGGACAGCGGTCAGTACAGTCGACAGATTATCAGGTTAGAGGGTGAATGAAAGGGGTTAAAAAAACCCTCCATATTTAGTGGCACCCCTGGTTAAGATGTATTCACTGACTTCTAAAATAAATACATTTTTTTTCTTTCCTTCTAAATGACAAAGGACCATTTTTTTTAATTAAACGTATTTATTCAAAACAGCACCTAATCTTCTCCTATAACGTTTCACAAGACTACAGAAAAATGGATCTTAGACCATTTCTCTTTGTACAATCGCTCTACATCATCCAGCAACATGAGTCCTCTCCTCGGCACTCTCCTCTTGAGCCACCGCCACATCTTTTCAATTGGGTGAAGGTCTGAGGACTGAGATGGCCAAAGGAGGAGCTTGATTTCTGTGTCGGGTGAACCATTTCTACAATTTTTAGCATGAAGTATGCTGCTGTAATGAAATAAGAATTTACTTGAAACGAAGGCTTCATTAATTTTACGCGTGGCTTGATTGGTATTAATTGATTTGTTTAACTGGGGAAAAAAGATGCAGCGTTGATAAATTGATATATTTCACTTTTATGTCAACATTTTCAACACACAGGCATGTCCATGTTGAGTCCAACAACGAGGACAAGAGGACCTGAGATTGAGGGAGATACCGCCCCGGTGGGCAAGGAAATGTGTGTTTTTTTTTTTTTTTTGTTTTGTAATGTACTGGAGGGCTCCAACTAACAATTATTTTAATAATCGATTGATTAATTGGATTAGGGCGGCATGGGGGCCGACTGGTGAGCACATCCGCCTCACAGTGCAGATGTGCAGGGTTCAATTCCGGCTGTGGAGTTTGCATGTTCTCCCTGTGCCTGCGTGGGTTTTCTCCGGGTACTCGGGTTTCCTCCCACATTCCAAAAACATGCATGGCAGGTGAATGGAACACTCCAAAATGTCCCTTGGTGTGATTGTGAGTGTGAGTGTGAATGGCTGTTCGTCTATGTGTGCCCTGTGATTGGCTGGCAACCAGTTCAGGGTGTGCCCTGCCTACTGCCCGAAGGCAGCTGGGATAGGCTCCAGCACGCCTGCGACCCTCGTGAGGATAAGCCGATCAAAAAATGGATGGATAGATGGATAAATTGGATTAAGAAAGAAAATAATTACCATCCCTTTTTTCAAAATTATTACAGAGTATTTCATATTGACAGTGTAGAAAATTCACAGACATAAATTGATGATCTTTTAATGACTGGTTTGGTCCCTGAAATGTCAGAAAATGGGAAAAATATTGATCATTGCTTTACAAAGAAAAGGCAGGTGTTTTCAAATGTCTTATTTTGATTCAAAACGATGATGATCAGTCTGCTTTTATGGAGGACTTTCAATATTAAAAACACAGGTTAGTCATTCACTCCCTATTTGCGTCAGTGCCTCGGGATGCCCATGGTAGTGTCATGGATTCCTTCATTCTTCACCTTACAATCTTAGCACATGATTACAGTCAAAATTAGGAATTAAAAACCGTTATAATCTTATCGTAAACTGATCACAGAAAAAAAGATCTGTTTTGAGCATGTTGGATTGAAGATGGCAAGATACCCGCACAATCACACAAACAATACCTTTCTCAAATTTGTCTTGTAGTCTTCTGGGATGAAGCCGTTTATCTTCTTTCTGTATGAATAGTCAATGAAATGAAATTATGTATTAGCAAATTAAAAAAAAATGCAAACCACAGTTAAGACCTTTTCAAAAGGAACTTACTGATAATATTTTGACCTGATGTGCGCTGAATCCATTTTCATTTAGTCCTTTCTTTAGATAAGGTGATTCCTGGTATTTCTTCCCATTGCCTTTTAAGTGTTGGCCCTACACAGAAGGTACAAAGTTAGGCAGCAACCACGGAGTCATTTTGAGGCAAATGCTCTCAGGTGATTACCACTGAATTTCACCATGAGAGCAGAAAGCACGTGCTCTCGGTCACCCAATTTCACCAGTGTTAATATATTATTTGGAGTTAAGAGCAGTCATTGTGAACGTTGTCTATATCAAATAAACAAAATAAAGATTAGAGAAGCCTTTCTTTTGTTACAAATATACAAACAGGACGTTTGGAAAAGAGATAGCTGTGTCACTTGTCTTTGCAAACCTGATTCAACTCAAATTGGCTCAGCTCCTTCTGCTGCTTATATTTGGTGTAACCATCTCCGGGAAATACTTCCATAGCAGTGATGCGGCGGGATTTTAACCTAAGAGAAACGGAGAGTGTCAACAATGCAAGATGCGAAAAAACTGAAGAGTAGGTTATAGTATTCTTTCGAAGTGGTTGATATTCTATTGATGGTGGCAAAGGCAGCACTGCCTTAATCTACTCCTAAATATTTACAATATACAGACCAATTACACCATATACATTGCTTATATCTATTCAATTCATCATCACATGAGCTGACACAGAGATGTTAATATATATATTAATATATATATATATATATGTCTAATATAAGATAATGACCGATAATGATATGAATGATAATGAGCTGCATTTACCGTGCATTGTCTGAGGTTTTTGCTGGAGTGGTGCCATTGTTTGCAAAGTCGTCATCGCTATCCGGGGGCTCATCTTTCACCCTGCTAATCCATTCTCGTAGCGGCCTGCACCAGGGAAGCAGCAAAAGAGCAATCGGTAGCCAAAGATTACTTCCAAGATTTCCGGATTTTCTCCACTATAAGGTGCTTCGGATTATAAGGGGCACATTCAATGAATGGCATATTTTAAAATTGTTTTCATATATAGGGCACACTGCATTATAAGGCGCATAGAATAGAAGCTATAATAGTGGCTGCAGGTGCGCTATGCATCCACTAGATGGAGCTACACAAAAGGGAATACAAGACAATCCAGCTTTATTTATATAGAGACTTAACCGCTACAGCTGTAACAAAGCCATTAGAACTGGTCACAAACACAGACATGAAACGCATAAATACAAATGGCATAACAAATAAATGAAAGACAAAAGTTATGAGGATAATTTATTCAACAAAATGGCACACAAACCACGTGGGCTCACATCCACAAGGGGCTAAATATAAATAGAAGTCTTGCTTGTCTCCTTCCTTCGTTTAGTCAGTCGTTAACTAACTACTTTTGGTATTATCTTCGTTTCATAATGGTTGCGCAGAGCTCACAAAGTAGTTGTCTGTTTTAGTGTGCGTTGGCAAATGCACATGTCAATTAGTGTCGGGCAGAACCCTTTTAGGCTACAATTGGTTCCTGCTAATAATCACCACTAGATGGCAAAGGTGCACTGTCAGCTTTTGAGAAAATTGAGTGCTTTTAGGTGCACCTTATAGTGCGGAAAATACGCCAGATTAAATGACTATATTATAAATCAGAGGTTCACAGCACAGACAAAGAAGACAGAACCAATTGTCGCAGTGCGCTGAAATTATCCAGATACAAGGATCTGCAGAGTTGAAAGCAATTATGTCATAGATGTGACCCCTTGTGACCTGCTCTACCTCAACGCTGGCTTAGACCGTTCAGAACTACATTACCGAATGGACAATACCTTGGCAATTGTTTTTGTTTCTAACATTTTCAAAATGGTTACGCAAGTAGAAAAGATCTACTCAGCGCCTCAAATCTCATTCAATCAGCGTCTCCTTGCCATTGTGACACACAACCGTATGCACCGGCCTTTCAGACGCGGCGTATTTAAAGTTGCAAAAATCACAATTTGTCATATTTTTTGATAAATCACATTGCATGCGCAACATTTAAAAAAGAAGTGAATGTGAATAGGTTGAAGTCGAATAAGCACAAAAAGCAGCACAAATAATTTTCAGTCTATTTTTGTTCAAATATGAACAGGAAAATCTGTAGTGATTTTAAAATACTCCTGTTTGTTTCCCTGGGTGAACTATTTTACTTTGTCATCATGGTAAATAAAGTGCACTTATCTACAAAATTTGGCGCCCAAACCACTTTCCAAACCTTGACACGCAACTTTCATTCACCGATAGGCAGCTGCTGCCATCTAAGGCGTTGACAGGCCCACAGGGAGTAAATTAAGGTTTGGTGTCTTGCCCAAGGACACTTTGACAGCAGACAGCCAGAGGCGGGATTTGAACCAGCGGCTCTTTGGTGACAGAACAACCTGCTCTCCTAACTGAGCCGCGCCGTGTACAATAATGATGCGTAGTTGTGCTGCCGCATTTTAAACGGATGTAGCTTCTCTCCACATGGTTTAAAATATGGACTTATTTGAGCATGAATTTATTTCCTTGTTATTTAAACACAATCCCCCCAAACACATACACTACCTTATAAATGGAATGGCCATGAGAAACCTGTTGGGGGCAAGTCCAAGTTTAGACCTTGGGGTCATGTCGCCACTGTGACGCGGGAGATTCTCAATCGGGAACCATTCAATATTCTAAAATAAGAAACCAAAGAAAATACACGATTAAATGATAATGTATTTGAAAACAAGATTTGAAATTGAAAAAAACGAAACAAAAGAGATTTCATACCCTGATTTCTTTTCTCGTTTTGGGATAAAACTTTGTATCCTTGGATACTGCTGGTATGATATAGAGCCGCACAAGCTTGTCAGTAATTTTCTGCTCTATGTACATATCTTTATCGATACGATTCTTAATGTCGAAGCCCGTTTCCTCTAACACCTTGGGAAAAACAGACACGCACGTTACGGTAAGCTTCGAAGCCATCTCCTTGTGCCTTCAGTTGTTCAGCGGTCAATTACGGGCAAAGAACAAACGACTCACTTCACGAACGGCACAATCATGAGGCGCTTCATCCTCATTCACTTTCCCTTTGGGAAAGCCCCAGCTTGACTTTGCAAGGTAGCCCTGAACAAGCAATACCTGGAAAAAAAAAATACAAATACAAATAAAAAAAAACAGTAATTTAACCCTTTCAGGGACAGCGGTTACTACAGTGGACAGCTTATCATGTTATAGGGTGCCTGAAAGCATTAACATTACACTTTTTAAGCACTCTTTATTCACCGAAGTGAAAAGAGAATTATTTTCCAATACTGCTGAACATATCGCTGAAGAAAACTCACACTTTCTAACGACTCATCAAGAATGATTGCTCCATAAGTAGGAACACCCATCTTGTACTCCTTCCACTGGTCGAGGACCTTCTGCACATCTTCTCCATGGGGCAAGAGGAAGGGACAGTGTTGGAAAAGTTTGCTGCTGTCAAGAAAAACTTTCTTCAAACTAAGATTTAAATATTAGAATTGTTTATAAATGTGCAACGATGCTGCACATCATCTAATTGTCCACGATACTGAAGGTTAATAATACACAAAGAGCTATTTTTCAAAGCGTGTTTCAGGCCACATAAAAAAAAAACATCTAAACCTTGAGGTTTAGCTTGTCATCATATCGTCAAACTCGATTCTCCCTTCTAGGTAGGTGCTGAGTTTGTCGAAGCAGTGAGAGTGTGCACTCAAACAGTAAGCAGTAAAAACAAAACACAGTAGGCTCTGTAACATAGTGGGGGAACTCTTAAATTAAAAAAAAATGTGATGACTAGAAATCTGCAAGTGGCTGGACCGCAAGAACTGTCATAAACTCTGAGTTTATCATCAAAATTTTGTGCGATTAATTGTTGAACATGTTCACACTGAGCCAATTCATTCATTTAGGGATATCTGAACACCAACTGTGCAGTCAGCAACACATTGTCACAACATTAACAGGGATATGTTCTTTATCCTCAGCAAAGAACGTCCAACTGAATGTCTGTTTTATACTGCCCCGAGGTTGCCAAGGCGCACACACCAGAATAAGAAGTGCAATGTGTTGATGGAGAAAAGTGTGACAAAAACTATTTCTCTCTAATTATATTCATTACTTTGCTGTATGTTTTTTAAATAACTTTACATAATGTTATTTCTCGCAGCACATTGTGTTTTTATTTTGGAAGGGATTAACGGCATTTTCATCCATTGTACTTCAATGAATTTCAAGAATGAGCTCACAGAGCACTGCATAAAGAGGTGCTGGAAAAAAAAAATCCCACCGGCAATGTCCGCCAATCAGGAAAAAGGATATCAGCTTTGGCAAAGTCTCTTATCCCACAGTGAGGGGCAGCAGGTGTGTTTGGCTTGCAGAAGTCCAGGTAAAACCAGTGTGCCAACTCAATCTGGAAGCACACCCGGATAGCGTTGTCCCGTTCCTCACTGGGAATGTGTAGGATGAATCGGCTATGCAAACACAGGATGGGGATCATTAGTGGAAGTCTTGGACCAACACCAAGACATGAATGCTTTTTATCTCCATTTTGTTGTTTTCATTTTATATTACATTTTCAGACTGCTGACCACTAACAACTTCCGGTGATGCAGGTCACGCTCATACTTTTTGTGAAAGTGAGACCAATAGTATGCTAGGGGTACAGTGTACACTAACCCAAAAATATATCATATAATAGGCGCACAGGCACCCAAATGTTTTGGGTTGGGGTTTTTTTTTCTTCCCCTCAACACATCTCGCGATCGACTTGGGACCAGTTGGCGAGCTACCGGTCGATCGTGATCGACGTATTGGGCACGCTTGCTGTAATCTTTTACAGTGAGTTTGTGTTCAAGGTGACGAGCAGTATCCGTTTTTGGCCACACATAACTACTTGCATTACGTCAAAAACTTGGTCTCATATCAGGAAATGTATGTAGCAGATGACAAATAGACTCTCCCATCTGAGCTGTGAATCTTTTTTCAAAGTCATGGGCCTCTTGGATGCTTCTCTGATCAACACTCACGTCACACATCCTGTCACCTTAGATGGACGGCTTTCTTGATACTTTTGCGGGCAGATTTGTTTTGTAATAACCCTTAATTGCACTGGATTTTATTTAGGGATATCAGAGGGGGGAACAGAATGAATTTGCATGCCACATTTCTAAAACTATTTTTACGTGTTAGGTTGGTTATTTTTCAGTCATGTATAATTTTCTTTCCACTTAATGATGGCCCATCAACATGAAATCCAAATCAAATCCTTGGATAATGGATGGTGGATGTTTGTTGTTGAAATGTGACACAATGTGGGAAAGGATCAAGGGATATTAATGCTTTAAAGACCGCTGTATATGCTGTCATTACCCATCATATTGAGTTGTTGTATTTACAACATAATTAGTATTTGTAATGATTATTATTTTAAACGATGACCGTGCTCATCCAAGCTGCTGTGGGACTTCTACTGCATTAGTTTTTGGGTAAACAGCCTAAGCGGAGATGTGTACGCTCCAAAACAAACGCTTCCAGAGGTAAAGACAAAGAATATAAAACATACAATAGCAGTGATGACGTTAATCTTTGTCAATTTAATCCGACTGAGTATATATAGAGCCTTAATTGTGTATAAATCCAATTTACAACAGTAATCGCGTGGCATTGTGCAAGCTGGTACAGGACTCTGCCTGTTGCAGAAGAGGGACCAAATCAATAAATATGTTACCTCGCTTATCGAATGATATTTTTCATTATTAGTGCAATGTCTTACCCTTAGCACTAAAATCGTCAGTAAATGCACTTCATGAAGATCTCCAAGGCAAAATTCGTTCTTACGATAAACAGAATGAATATACCTTTAAAAACGCGTTAGAAATTGGGGCTATAGAAACAAAACGGAATGATGAAGACCCGCAATAATTCCGTTTAAAAAATGGTTAACAAACGACGATAACCATCCAGTTACCTGCAGAGGTCGTCCAGTATGCCAGAGGGGATCTCGACTCTTTTTGTTTCCATGTTGGTCGAAAACATTGAGGCTCTAGCGTAAAACAAACTAGAACAAAAGCCATAGGCGGGCCGAGCTACATCCACGTGTCTCCACTTACATCCTTATTACCGAAGGAACCCTCACTTGACTCCGCAGTCGATAAAAACTTGTAAATATTGGCTCAGACTTTTTCAGGCGAGTACCAAGAGAGCTACGAAAACAGGAAGTAAAGCATCCAATCACAAGATAGCGCAAATTCTTTCTTTGAATATTATTGGTCTGTTGTGATGCCCGTCAAGAACGTACAGCGCCTGCATCAAATCTGTAAAACGTTTCTGAAGCAAAATCAAGCTTACGAGAGTAATAGAACACATTCTGTAAATATGAGATTAAGCATTTTCTTTTTTTTCCAGTCTGAATCATTATTATTTATGTACATACTTAGCGCCAAGTATTTGCTTGCTATATTTATTTTCTCGCCATACACTTTGGAACTAAGAAGTTTTGGGGATTCTGGGTTTAGAGATAATCAGGTATACACGTGAACTTCACTAACAAAGGCGTCTGTGATTCGGATCTCGGTCAGGTTTTTTGTTTGATTCCTCTATTTTCCCCTCATTTTAAAGCAGGGGAAATGGTCATGATACTATTTGTTAATGCATACCAGCGTTCATCTACCTGAAATAACCGAACACATATCAATCTACTGGTTGTCTGTCCTGTATTAATTTAGCAATGTCATCGCCGCCCTCCACCGCAAAAAAGAAAAAGAAAATAGGCGTGGCTGCATAAGGCTGAGTGCACCCAAAGCGTTTTAAAATAATATATGCCCTGATCTTTGACTCGCGGGAACACTTCATTAACGGAACAAGATAAATGGGCTTTTTAAATGACCCTATCCGAAGATCTGTATTGATTAATATCAGAGCATTATTGTGATTTTAAACTGATAGGATGGATGGTGGTACAAACATAGTATAACCCCACAACTGTAACATTACACTGATAATCTACTTTTCCAAAATTGTGCAACGATTGTCTCGGTTTACATTAAGCCACATAATACGGAGAACAGCGTTTCTACAACACACATAAAATAATAATCATAATGATAATATAGCATACTAAAATTAATGTGTGTTTCCATCGATGAGTTATCAGAGTTTGGTGTACAGTAAACACCTTAATGAGACAAGCGAAAGCTTTTATTATGAAGATACCCACCGGAAGTGCTTGGTAGTGTCCTGTACACTTTGATGCTTTGTAACTAACGGGAGTGTTCGGTTTCACGAGTGTCGCATTTTCCCATAGAACAACTTCCTAATTCATCCTTGTTCGGGAAGCAAGAGCAGCCATGGCACATGCACTCAAAGAAAGATTTGAGAAGTTCCTCCACGAAAAGAGCCTCGTGACTGATGCCCTTGCTAAAGTCGAAGCGAAGACTGGGGTTAGCAGGACGTACATCGCTCTCGGTGAGTGTTGACAGAAAGAGGAATGGGAAAAAAAAAGACTGCATTGGCGAGTCGACGCGGTGGCAGTCGGAGCGGTTTTGACGTTTAGATGTCGAGTATGATAGCATATGTTTGATTGTGTTCCTTTTAAGATATTACTAAATAAAGATATTTAGAGCATTGCATGGATTATATGTTGAAAGTTATTTGTGTTAAATAGCTGTGTTGGTTTTCTTCCAGCAATCATTGGCATCATCGCAGTGTACTTGGTCATTGGTTATGGAGCCTCCTTGCTGTGCAACCTCATCGGCTTTCTTTACCCAGCTTACATATCGTAAGTGGACCGGGCGATATCGAGGAGGGGCCACACCCACACTCTTACACACAAACACACTAACACGCATACACACTTCTCTGTTCTAAAGTTAACATCGCTGGCATGTATCCAATTTATTTTTATGTTGGTGCTGTAATCAAATATCCTGTCGATACGCAACAAATTTATCAGAGCAGTAGTGTTTAAACATGTTCCTTTTATTCCTGCAATTCAGTAATGGGTCATTTTGAATGTGCGCACTATTATGGCATCACACGCCATCTACGTCTTGTGACTCACACAAAATACCAAATATCACTTCACAAATTGCGCAATTGCAGCCTAGATGGGTTTTGACAAGTAAGAAACTGGTTATCAAACTGTCATAACAGTATTTTAGTCGTCAGTCCTATCATCACTTAATTTTTTATTCTATTTTTTTAATGAATGAAACAAACATCTACGTCAACAAATACAGCATTATGAGCACTTAAGCCTTATTGAACTGAGGACAGGCACATGTTCCACTTGACGTCGCAAGAAGTTTCATCTTTGATAATGTGGTCATCACATTTTTTTCTTTTTGGCGTCACTGGTATGCTTCAGTAGTGGCATTACAAAACTGCAGATCAAGGCCAGATAATGAACACAAAACATACTTTTTGAGTTCTTACGTATGCTGACGGAGTTTTGCTGGGGTATCATGAGATATGCGGCTGGATGGATGCATGGATTGAGGAGCCGACGATGAGAAGAAAGGAGCATCAGCGCAGAGCGCCGATGCGTATGTGAAACTGTGAGTCGCGGCTTGTAATTGAAGCGGACTTACATGGGACAGGAGAAGAGAGCCAATCTCTCTTTTTAGTTAATGGATGCTACAGCTTCTTTCAAGCTTAGCTTGTAGCAGACGTGTGCACATTGCAGCATGATGTCTTTGATCCACTGGTAAAAGGACACTTTGAATCGCTCCTCTTTCATCTATAACTGCTTCAGACAACAAAGTGTATACAGGAAAGTGGTTAAGAGTGCACGATTGTCTGTGTCTCATGTGTTGTTTTGTATTATTTTGTCATTTTTTTGTTAACTTTTCTTTTGATAGCGGCACAGACACCCGCAGCGGCTCCTCTTGTTTTATGTTGAGAGGGAAGAAATTTCATCTGTGCTGTATGTTACACATACAGTACATTTGACAAAGTTTATCCAATCCAATCTGGGTTAAATTCCAAATGTTACAGCTTCAGTGGGACAATTTCACTTCGAGGTTCCACTATCGTTAAATTGTGATTTCATATGACCTCAAAAGGGGGAGGAAAAACAGGACCATCCCCAACATAGAGCATACAGTATATAAAATATAAATTGGGAGTGTGGTTTTCTGAGTTACAATCGTAAAGTACATACTGGAATATGCAAACCCATAATTTCAAGGTCTACGCAAGCTCGTATTACTTGCACACAAGATGTAGACTCTCAAACTAGCAGTCAAGATCAGATAGAGAAAAGACGATTCTGAAAAATGATATGAAATGCAAAAAGCTTTTGAAGAGTTTCTTCAAGTAATCACGTGTTAATGTGACAATACACATTTTAGAGTCAACAAGCCTTTGCACAGGGAAAAGAAAAAAAATATTGTGCTGTCACCAGCGCATTCATTACTGAAACTAGATTTTCTTTTATCAAGTTTTTGGGGATTCATGCCTTCTATGTGGTAAATTATATTGAAATATTGAATAACAAGTCAAAAAACAGAGTGGTACACAGCCGATCATGTAATTTTCAGTTTGTTTTATGGCGAAAAAAAGTCGATGTTTTTTTTCAAATGAATTTTTAAACATCATAAAGCGACAAAATAATCCTGAGGTACAAAGATATTGACAGGCGGAACAGCTATATAGACTAGTTTGTTATTGCACAGTCTCAGGTTTGTGGGGTGGTGAGAAACAGTCGAAAGGCAGAAAACCGTGGGATCCTCCGCCAAAAAACAATGCTTGTTGCTTATTTACACTTAAGCTTTTAAGATGAGTCGGACAAAAACTATTTTTTTTTTCATATGAGAATTACGGGGTGAGGTGCTTGACAAAAAAATCGCTATATTAAACTATATCGGTTGATTGTCCAAATCAAGTGACTCAGACTCACACGCACAAAAGTGTGATCAGGACATCTCTGTCATGAAACGGTTTTCACAATTTAATTTTCTCACAGTCCTCCTAAGTCAGCGCTGCATCTTCTCTGGATTCCAATGGGTTGTCTACAATGATCAACTCATGACTGGGAAGGGTTGTCAATTTGTCTATGGTTCATGAGTTTAAAAAGACTTCATTTAGAGAGAGACCTATAAAATATATCACAACTTTCCTCATTTTGCCTCTTCAGAATATTGTTTTAGTTGTCAAGGGATCATGTTTACACTGATGTAATAGTAAGACTTTCTGACTCAAGGTGTGACATGCAAAGCACAGTTCATTTAGGCCAGTGTAGTGAGAAGCCAAAGCGAAGCCAGGATGAACACAAAAGAAGGGGATGCCATGGCACATGACCTAAAAGCTCTGACAAAAAACAAAAACAAAACCTCAAATCAGCAGTTAAGTAAAAAGTGGCCCCAACTGGCCTTGACGTACAATCATGTGACACAAAGTTGTTGTTTTCAAAATAATCACGTGATTGTCTGCAAAGCCCACAAAACACCAGTAAACAGTTCTGAGAAAACAGTTCTGAAAAAACAGTTGGAAGCTCATGGCAAAAGAACCATTCAACTGTAAGCACCAGTGTGTCTTACCATTCGAAGAAAAGAGGTGTGGCGAAGATCACTTACTGAAATAGAGTGGATAGAAAAGGTCTACACACCCCTGCTCAAATGCCACCTTTTTGTGATGTAAAAAAAAATAAAATAAAATAAAAATCCATCCATCCATTTTCTAATCCGCTTATCCTGACAAGACTATACCCTGAACTGGTTCCCAGCCAATCGCAGGGCACACATAGACAACAACCATTCACACTCACATTCACAATTTAGACAATTTAGAGCAGGGGTGATCAAATTCGATCCTCAAGGGCCGCTGTCCTGCCTGTTTTCCATCTCTCCAGGCTGCAACACACTTTATTCAAATAATCTGGATCGTTCTAATGCTCCTTCAGAGCTGGGTGATGATCTGATCATTTAAATCAGGTGTGTTGCTGCGGGGAGAGATGGAAAACAGGCTACACAGCGGCCCTCCAGGCCTGGAGTTGGACATACCTGATTTAGTGTGTTCCGTTACCCTGCCATGCATGTTTTTGGAAATGTGGGAGGAAACCGGAGTACCCGGAGAAAACCCACACAGGCACAGTGGAGAACATGCACACTCCACACAGGAAGGCCGGAGCCGAAATCGAATCCTGCACCTCTGCACTGTGAGGTCGAAACGCTAACCAGTCGACGACCGTGCTGCGCACTATCTATCTAGCTATCTATCTATCTATCTATCTATCTAGCTAGCTAGCTAGCCAGCCAGCCAGCCAGCTATCTATCTACAACAGGGGTGGCCAACCCGCGGTTCGCGAGCCGCATGCGGCTCCCGGGCTTTCACATGACAAGCGTTGAAAACGCCTCGGCAGTGGCGCTGCCATTCAAACAACGGCGCTAAATACACAGAACTAACTACGTCAGCCTATCATCAATCCCGTTACTTGATTGACATACAGGGCCACCAATCAGATGACAACTGAATCACCGCTCATGCGCAAACAATGGCGTTCAGTGCTAAGCGCTAAGCTAGTCAGCTTTAAAGGTAGGGGTGCCCAATACGTCAATCGCGATCGAGCCGGAGCCAGCGAACTGGTCCCAAGTCGAGGGCGAGCGTTGGGAGGAGGAAATGGGGGTGGGGGGGATATGTCTGTGTGTTTCGATTTCGTTCGTGTTCAGTGAAGTTCCGGCTCTCGCTCATCTCGATGTCTATGCGTGCATGTGTGTATGTGTGTGTGTGTGTGTGTGCGTGTGTGCGTGTGTGCGTGTGCGTGATGTGGCTCTTTGCAGTAACACAGTAAAAAAAAATGGCTCTTAGTCTCTGACTGGTTGGCCACCCCTGATCTACAAAATAGACCAACATAACCTGTACAAAAACCTTTTTCTTTCAAGGAGGGAAGTGTAAATAACCGAGCTAATGTGGTCTGCACACCCTCTTAGAACCTTTTTTTTCCAATAATTTTTGTAATTTTATCAAATATGTATAATTTGTAGGGCTTGAAAAATATGTTTTTTTTCAATGCATCGATAATGACTGTCAGCGGATTTCCAATATTTCCTACAACTTAAAATCCCTATCCAGCTGTATGCTGAGTGGATGGTTGGTGGTACCTACAGAACAATACAATGCAATACATTTATATTGCGATTTTCACAGCAGCTGCAGCTGTAGCAAAGCGCTTAATCAAATCCAGTAAGACTAAACTGCCACAAAGCCACATAAGCGTTACATCAAGCAGTTACATCAAGTTCGATGCTTTACGACCGACGGGAGTGTTCGGTTTCAGTTTTCAGGAGGCCTGAACAATTCATGAAATTGGAATCAACATGGCACTGAAGTCAAAATGCCTTTTTTCTAGTTGTAAAGCCTGCAACTCGGGTTGGGGGGGGGGGGGTTGAAACTCTGTATTGTGGCCCATTGGTTTAGTTATTTGTTTAGAGTCTCAATATAGTGCTTAAGAAGCGGCGTCCACGTGTTTCCACATTGTTTCTCAAAACGTGAAACGTCATCAAGCCACACATTGAAATGATAACTTAGTGAGTTATGGTCGTGCCACGTTTTGGCTTTTAGAATGTTGTGAAATATGTAGTGCGATGAATTTTTCAGTGGGTTCTACTCAGGAGAGTTTCCACACAGAGCAGCTGGTTTTGTTGATTTTGAGTAAACGTAGTCTCTCACCAGCTCTGTGTGTGTGTTTGTACTCCTGTGGGTGTGACTGTGAGGATCTGACCCCACCCTCACTATACAGTCGGTGTATTGACATAAGTGGAAGAATCATCCCAAAAAAGGAATCACCTTTCAATATTCACAATCTTACCAAAGCCTGTTGGATTATGTACAGTCATGTGCACATTTGTTCAAGTGCTCTTCATACACTGAAATCCGAAAAAAAGCATGCGTTCGTCCATCCCGTCATTCTCTGTCGCGCTTGGTCTCACGAGGGTCGTGTCCTATTAAAGATGACACGGCTCTCGCATGATTATTAAACCTATTTCCAGAAAATGTTGAAGACGGTTGAACACGAGCCAACCAGAACCATCGCAATATATTGAGGATCTCCAGTAAAACAGCTGTGAGACAAAAATAAAAAAAAAGGAAATTAATTCTTGCGTAATAAAGTAAACTACAATTCTCAGACAACTATTTGACCTTCCTTCTTCTATACGGATGTACAGCAATATCGAAATACTGTAAATACTAAATGACAAAGATGAAAATGAAGGACATTTTTGCGATAATAGTTTTATAAATGTAAGATGTAGTTTAATTTATTACTAATTTTTTTAAAAAAGCATTTTTAAACATTTTGATTTCATCAACAATTTTTTTTCAATTTTATTTTTTTTCGAACTATAGTAACCTTGTTCATCCAATCTCACGTGTTTTTACAACTGTTACATGAAATTTAAATCGGCATAGTTGTATGCGAATGTGTGTCATTATCTGATGTTGTTAACGGCAGTTTATTTTTGAGAGCATCAAGAGAATAAATAAATGTTATGACATTGACAATTTGAGACCTGAACAGGGAATCAATGTTCCAGCATTGAGCATCTTGAAATCAATACAATCAATTGCATGTAAGTAAAAAAACAACCCGCCGGCCCCCCGCAAAAATTAAAAAAAAAAAAAAATAAAAAAAAAAGATCTGTGTCCCATCCTCAGGTTGCCAAATAATTTCATTCAGGTTCATACAGTCACGGGATTGTCTCCATTATTCTATGCAACAAGTCATGCTGTCACTTGGCATGTGTAAATCGAGTCATTGTCCCAAGAAAATCTACTGGCAGAAGTGGTATCTAAGACCATTTTGACGGACTTGATTACAGAGCTTAGTACCGTTTGACCAAAAATCAGTCAGAAAAGTTGTTTTGTTTTTGGACCAGGTCTGTCAAAACGCAAGTGTGCCTCCTCAATGTTTTGTCAGTTACTCATTGCATTTCCGGCCAAATGCTTCATAGGAAAAAAAACTGATGAAATGTGTGATGTTTTTTTTTTTTTTTTAAATTTCCTTTTTTTTCTTGTAGCGCCACAGAAGCTTTGTGCAGATCACTGTGTCACGGTCGTATACACCCACAGTGTATGTTTAGTAACAGGGGCCACTCGTTGGATGTGTAGCTGTCACCAAGCTTTACTTAGTGTATTTGGTGTTGCAAGTAGGACGATCGTCTATGTAACCCAATGCAAAGTCCTGTTCGAGCGGAAAACCACATCTTACAACCCACACCTGCACATACACAAACATCTCTTGGTATTTGAAAGGTTAACAGCTGCAGGATAAGGTCAAAACTGTGTCAAGACGCAAATTACAAATTATCTTTTAAAAAAACGGGGACTTAAATTTTATATAAAAATTCAACCGGGATATCACCGTATTTTCTGCACTATTAGGCGCTTCAAAGTATAAGGCGCACCTTCAATGAATGGTCTATTTTAAAATGGTTTTCATACATAGGGTGCCCCACATTGTAAGGTGCACAGAATAGAAGCTACAATAGTGGCTGCGGTTGCATTATGCATCCACTAGATGAGCTACGTTTAAGGGAATACAATACGATGCAGTTTATTTATGTAGAGCCTTCACAACAACTGCAGCTGTAACAAAGCGCTTTACAGAACATTTCAAATACTCAGAATCAGAATCAGAGAATCAGAATCGCCTTTATTGTCATTGTATAGCATACAACGAAATTTGGGTGCCACTCCTTCGTGCATTTCGAAAAAATAAATAAATAAAATAAAATACGTCCAAGAAATCAGAATATTGATCCATATAGAACGGGCATCAAATTATCAAGTGCACTCTTGGCTTTTGAAAAAATTGAGTGCCTTTAGGTGCGCCTTAGAGTGCGGAAAACACGGTATATACTTGCAGTGAAAAGCTACAGACAAGTAGACCATTTCTGTGAGCGCTACCATACAAGTGATAAAATATGAAAATTCCTGACGTTTGTATGTCTTCTCTGCAGCATCAAGGCCATAGAAAGCGCCACCAAAGATGATGATACAAAATGGCTGACTTACTGGGTGGTGTATGGACTCTTCAGTGTGGCCGAGTTCTTTGCAGACATCTTTCTCTCGTGGTTCCCATTTTACTACATCGGAAAGGTAATCGAGCTGTAGTTTGTCGGCATTCTGTCTTGTTTTGATGATGCCTTTTGATTTTCTGTTGTCACTGTGATGGCTGAGTTTGATGGAAGCATGTGGCCAAGCACAGAATAACCAAGGACAAATAAGTAGTGAGGCACGCCAACTAGAGGAGTGCAGACCGCCACCAAGGCTGTTCACACATATTTTCTAAGTTTGCATTGCAAGCCAATTCCCTGCTCTTTGAGATTCGATTCGCATTGTAGTGACTTAAACGGTAAAAATGGAAAATAAACTCCTTTTGGCTCAGTTACTTATCAAAATGACAGAAAAGCTCTTAACCTTCAGTTGGTGGATTATTGATCAATGTATTGTTCATTTCACGTCAAATGCTGGTTGAAATATCAAAACAAATGTGGTTTGTGAGAATGTGGCTTTTAGTCACGGGCAGTTTTATGAGTTTTATGAGTGCTTGTCTTCTTACCAGTGCGCCTTCCTGGTCTGGTGCATGGCTCCGACCCCTTCCAACGGCTCGGTCCAGATTTACAATCGCATCATCCGCCCCTTCTTCCTCAAGAACGAATCCAAGATTGATGATGCGGTCAAGAATATCAAGGATAAGGCATCGGAAGCCGCTGACAAGTTCAAAGATGAGGGTGAGTACGAAGGATGATTCCAATATGGGCAAAACCTGTTAATCAGATCAAATTAATTAAAATAAATAAGTAAATAAATGTTGGGAAGGTGCGGGAAATGACGAGACAAGGCAAAAAAGGTGAGTCACATCTCTAAAATTGTGTTTTATAATCGAGGTAATACTATAAGTTTTCCTTTCTTCAGTGACTTGTGCCACTTCAGGCTCATATCCAGATTATCTGTTGTTAACTTTGACATATTTCAGACAAAACTGGCCCAAATATGTTTAGCAAAGGTGGCAGCGGTGTAGTAGGCAAAAGGCCGTTGGAAATATTCCCCATTCATTTTAAACGGCGGAGGTACCAGGGGCGCAGCCGGGGGTACCAGGGGTGAAGAGCGGGCCGGCTCGGAGGCCAAGTGTGGCCGGCAGAGAGGCCTCTTGGTCGGATGAATGAAGCGTGGGGCGCACATGTAGTACGTACGTTGGCCACTTTAGGCTCAGATCCATATCACCTAGAATTACCATTGTCTGCTCTGCCATGCATCTGCCAAAGGTGAGCCGTATTTGTATAGTGATATTTGTGCTGGTTTAGGTTCACCTTTGCTTGGTTCAGAAAAATGCCTACGTGCCGGATTGTTGCCGTGAGTGACCCACATTCATTGGCTCTCTGAGAGTCTATTCCCTCTATGCCCAAATAGAGGCCCAGACATTGGTGGCCAGTCCTAACCCACCCCCACTTCACCCACATATAATCCACACAGAACCCTGACATGTTTTACCAGTTCTAACCGATGCCCGGTTCGCTTTTATTGAAACCTCATGGAACCCAGACATGGTTGATTAGGACTAACCTAAGACCACTTTGCCCATACGTAACCTTTTTTGTACACTTTACATATTCTCAGTTTAAGCTCATGCCCACAAAGCCCAAATAAACCCAACATGGAACCCAGTACCCTTGCCCACTCTTAGCCCATGCCCACTTGGTACCCAGGAAGCCCACATTTATGCCACATCCAGCCCAACTGGACATGTTGGCTGGGGTGTGTCCTCACGAGCCTCTGCGACTGGTGACATGTGAAAAGATTGATGTGTCCCTCGGTCATGCCTTCTGTCTCTTCAATCTCTGATTGTTTTGTTTTATTCATGCAATCATTAGTTAAAAAATAATCATTCATCTCGTAGAATTGACAATGAAAGCCACCTTGAATCTTAAATCCTGCTGTGGCCTTGAAAGTGTTTTCATGTTGGAGGACTGACAACCTTTGTGTGGGGGGTGAACAGCTCGCTCAGGACATATTTTCAGAAATAGGTCAACAACAAGAGATTTACTTCGTGGTTGAATATCTTCACGCTTGATGGGTGGGCAGGCACTCCAGAGACCCACCATTCACGCCATGACTTCTATAAAAACTGTTTTCACTGCTTAAAAATCTCGTTGGGCATCCACGGCAATCACAGCCAGGGGGGTCAATAGGAATGTGTAGACTATTTATATCCACAGTTTTTGTGTAATCCTGTAACTCCAAGTATGTAAAAACATGACATCTGATTGCATTATTATGAATATTTACAATTATTACTACTGCTCATGTTTGCTGTTGCTATATATAGGCATACGATTTATTAAAAAACAAAACAAAAGAAACCACTGTATGAACTGTCCCGATATCAAAAATATAGGCATCTGCGTTTCATTGACTCGTGTTTATTTAGTCACCTTTCGTGTGTGTGTGTTTGTTTGTTACCACAGCCAAGAAAGCAACAGCCAACATCATGTTTGAGGAGAAGAAGAGCTCCTAATCAGGACCTCCACACAGGACCGTCTGTGCAGCTGTTCCAGAAAATAATGTTGCCTTGTTGTATTTAATGGATTATCTGTTCTGGTGTGTAACGTCAAAGCCATTTCCCTGCTCAATTTACTTGTTTGACAGGTCACTGTACATCGCCCTGATCCTGAATGAACCCAATAAATGCCTAACTGGAATTGTGTAATGTTTTCTGCCGTAACGTGACAATATAATGATACCCAGAACTGCTATACTGTATAAAAGCTGCATCTAACTTGTTAAACTGGTGACATGCGAGGTTTTTGGTAGGTGAGGTCCTGACTTTGGGCAGAATTTAGATTTTCCAATTTATGAACGAAACTGCGATCAGCAGCATGGCATTAGAAAATGACTAAGAAAAAAAATGATGTACTGTATCGTCATTCGTTTCTCACACAAAATTTTACAAAAAGGTTTGTTATTTTTCCAGCAATTTAGAGAGCATAGTAGCCACTGTAATGTCATACTTGTTCAATTACTCATTATACATTATAACTGGTGTGCGGAAAAAAATATTTAATTTAGGCTTTTACTGTAATATTCTGTTAAACAATACTCAAATATGTTGAACACAGACAATTCAGCAAAACAGTAACAGTTTAAATGAATTTAAAATCTAATTTTGAATTGTGGATTATTAAATTGTCTCTTCTCATTTTAGGTCAAATGAAAGATGTTTTATTGTCTTGTCGTTACTTGGAGATGAAATCCATGTGTCTCTCCCAACAACCTTGCAGGTACGATGGGGACGTGAGCCCCTCGAGCTGGATTACACCCTTCAATCCCGCTTTATGAAAGGGTACCAGACCACCACAAACAGTGGCGGTTCAAGACCAGTTTTTTTGGTGGACCGGGCCACGGGTTTTCTCAGAGGGGGACAGTTTTAAATCACATGAGAGTTGTGGTCCTTTTACTTTGTGTCGCCTTGAAGTAACGTTTTGTAGCGCCCAGCCAATAAAATGCGCCACTAGGTGGTGTCGCTTCGCCTGCGAGTTTGTTGAGCTCCCCGGTTTGGTGACTTTGCTCACCCCGAAACGTGGCGAGTGGTCTCCTTGCTTGGTCCATACATGAAAAAGTACGCATTGCTGTCTGTCTAATTTGAGTTTGACTCACAGATAAAAGCTAGTGAGCAAGTGGCTTGTACTGTTATGAGAGGAATACTTCTCAAAAGGAATTTGAGGAAAAAAATGTACTTCAGAAGTTGGCAACTTGGCACCAAACGATTTTTGTAACTTCCAGTGATACTGTACTTCTGCACTTCTCGGCAGGTATTTGGCCCCACTCTTCATGTGATTAAACTTCTCCAGTTCTCTCAGCTTTTTCTCCAGACGGCATGTTTCAGGGCTTTCCACAGATTTGCAATAGGTTTTAGATCAGGGCTCAGGTGTTTTACCTGTGTTACCAGGACAAGAACCCGTGACCAAACTTTCACCATTCCGTTGGAATTTCATTCTGCACAGATTCAAGATACCCAGTACTAAATGGAGCAAAGCCTGCCCAGAATTTCACAGAGCTTCTTTAATGTTTCAATAATTATCGATTTTATTTTCATTACTATAAAGTGCAAAACATTTCACTATGGGTTTGAGGCAGACCAAGTGATATGGTCAATATAATTCAAACACAGTTCATTTCGGACAAGCGGCAGTTGCGTGACGTCATCTTTATAAGACGTCTCCGTTCTGTGAGGTCATCTTTACTGGACGTCTCGAAATTAAAGCCAAAGTGTCATCTAGATTAGATGACACTTTGGCATAACAATTCCACCACCTCTTGCATCGCTCCTCTGTCGATATGAAATGAAAAATGGGCCACGACACTTTGGATCATATTTACTTGTGTAAACACTGCCACGTGTCCTCTAATTTTGCGTATGTAAGGGCGCATTGTTTTTGTAATGTGAACGAGACCATAAAAAGAGCGTATCATCACGACTTGAAGTGCGAACGGAGCCTGTCCCATCGTGACATCTAGCTGTCGAGGTGAAAATTACATGTAAATGTAATGGACCTACAGTATTTGGCACCTCGCCCTTATTTCTGGACTGCTTTCAATTCCGCGGAGAGCTTTGAAATGCCCGGCAAAAATTCCGCGATCGCGGAGTCGTGTATTCCGGCGGGGACGAATTTAATGAACTATTATACATTTGAATTTAGTATTGATATATTCATTGCCAACAGCCAGGAGTGGCAACTGGGGGCGGGGGGGGAGGGCGCAAGGCATTTGCTAAGGGTGGCAGCTCCCGCCACCCCGTAAAACCTTTTAATGCTTGTCACCCTTTAAAATAGGCCGAGTGACTGCTTCTAAATTTGAAGACACCCGTGATCCTATTCAGAGGATCTCCATTTGTTGAACATGTCTGATTGTCAGTGGTTCATTTTCATATTTTTTTATTACTTTTGTCAGGTTTCAAGTTATTTCTGTGTCCACTGTGGGGTTTTAATTTATTGAAAGAGGGCTACGAATTTTGTCCACGTTTTGTTTAATTGGGATAAGGATTAAGGGGTTTTCGGGGGGGGGGCATTCCCAGGGCCCAGTTTCTTGTATAAAGATTGTAAGATTGTACAAACCCAGTACCAGACTAATCTGGTTTAACTACACTAATCAAATTGCTTTCTGAGATATTATTAAATTTGTGATTTACTAGTTCAACAGAGGTTTGACTAATGATGAAGCATGGAGAAAGGGAAAAGAGAGCGTTCGAAAAACTTAAGTGAAAGTGAGAAGATGCTTTTGAAGGAGATAATTTCAAAGTACCCGCAATTGAAGATAAAAATAGCAATTTCAGCATCAGAAATGAAGCTCCCCCCCCCCCCCAAAAAAAAACTAAACGCTTGGACTGAGATTACGAATGAATACAATTCAAATGAAAATGCTACCAACAGGACTGTCCAACAACATCGGGTAAAAAGTTATGATGTTGCTTGATTTTTCATCGACAATGAATTGCACGTTTCCTAATATGGGGCACATACACAAGTTCGTACTGTATACTGTATTGCCTTCTAAAGAGGGTAGTAAACCACAGCAACTGCTCGAAAGAAGAGCTTCAAGACAGCTGGGGGACCCGCAGTTCGACCAAAAATACACATGACCTGCGAGACCTGTTGAGGCGAATAATCGGTGATGAGGTACTTGAGTTCCCCTTCCCGAATCACATGAAAGCTTTGTCTGAAGCAAACGAATAATTTCAGCTGCAACGATCATCATCAAATTCATTACGGTTTACTTATGTCTCTGAAAAATCTTTCTGGTGTTGGTGGTGGGGTTTCAGCTTCATTGATGTAGCCAAGGCAACCATTTTTCACTATGCACATTGAAGGGCTCAGCTTTTCCTCTGAAGATTAACTTGTCCCTGGCCAGGTTTAATTTTGGATTAGCTATAGTCCTTAAAAACAGGAGATCATTTAACTCAAGACGATGACAAGTCTTAATTGAATCCATATTGATGAAAGCTATTTCAATAAATCCTGGACTAAAATGTGAATTGATCTAGATTAGAACTAGCCTTAAACCCTGCATGGGAAACTGCAAAAAAAAGTTAAAGGAATTCATACTCTCACCAATCAAACCTACGTGACTTAGGTCAAAGCAAATCATGCGTTCCACTGAATTAATTCGTTTTTATTCTATCACTTTTGAAGTTAAACTTTCACATGAAGGATGCTGATGAAATTTGGGATGTTAATAAAAAATATTTTCCTATTCTAGACATTTTTATATTATGCTTCCTACTCGGGGGCGGGGGTTATTTGCAATGCATTTTATAGTTAAATTACCTGTACATTCAAAGTGTGACGTTATCAAACATAACTACACAAAACAAGAGACGGGGGGAGGAGGGAGGGGGGGTGACTATGTGGGTGCGTTCCACGTTGTCTCTTTTGGAATAAAGTTTGTTTTCCAAGCCCGTCCCCACGCAGTGTAGTGCCCTCTGGTGGTCAGCGAGAGCATTTTAACGGCTGTTGTGGGAGTTGAGCCTTCGCCGAAACGGATATTGCGATGGAACACGTCGTGGGAAGCATTACCGTAGAGACAGGAATTTTGGAGTCAGCCTTGTGTCTAAGGGGAAGTCACCAGTGAGGATAATGTAGGATGGAGTTAAACATGTTCTTGTTTTTGCACCGAGGAGCGCTGTATTTTATGTATCGGAGCTCATCAACTCAAAAAATAAAAGTTCAGGAAGGCTTTTTCTGTGTTGTATGGTTTCAGTTATTACTCCATTGATAAACTTTTTAAGCGCTGGTCCAAGGGAGTACAGTGATTGATTTTAATGGCTTCATAAACAACTATATAAAAACAGTTCATAAAAATCCATGCACTCTCAGTGTAAATTGATTCTGAAATATAGAGGAAAGTTATGTACAACAGAGTGAACCGTTAACAGTGACTTCATTCAGTTGGGTGGTTCACCACAAATATACTTGGCTGCATAGAACATTGACATTATTATTGCCTACGTCGAAAAAAAAAAAACAGTTGCGGAAAATATCTAAGCAGGTCTTTTTCGACTGATTTTCAAAAGTCACTGATTTTAACAAAAAAAAAAAACTCAAAACAAACTCGGCAAAACCTTTCCCTTTACCAAAAGTTACATTCTGAAAGCATTATAATGAAAGACCTATTATACAGAGACTCACTTGAAGAACAAAAAAAGCCTGAGTTGATAAAGAAAAGTCTGAATAAATCCAAAAAGCCTGAGGAAAAAGACCACCGATTTACTATTTTACATAAATTTACAAAATCATGATGGAAGGGAAAAATTGCTCACAAAATGTAGAAAGCAAAATTTTTTTGTTTTGTTTTGTTTTTTTTACAGCTAAAATCTGTTCTTCTTAAATAATTCTCACACAAACAAATGAGAAGGTATGTAAATGAGGTACGTCAGGTGATGAGCCCGAGCCCAGACTGGTCTTGACATCAGCTTGCAACATGATTCATGTGACAGCTGACGGTTCGACTGACTTAACACTTAAATAAGATAATCACGTTGGACATGATCATGACAGACGGACATGAACAACAGTCAAAACACAGGATCCAGTGTCATGGGTCGGTGGGAGTATGAGGCAGCGCTCAGGGTCTTATTCTGTCCAAAGGTTAAAATAAAAGTTAAAAAAAACAAAAAAACTTCTTTATAAAAATAACAAAAAGTGTGCTGCGTGCAGCATTTAACTCTTAAATACAAAAATATGCTATGATTTTGTTTTCCTTGATGCCTGGTTTGAGGCGCTGCTTAGCGTTCGTCTCCAGTCGTGGCACAGTGCTTTCTACAGCTTTCCTCTAAGGCGTGGGCTGTTGTTAGCGAGTTCATGGCCGCTACGAGCAGGCCCGGGCAGCTGCCGTTATGTCTTGCGGCCGCTCCAGATCTGCTCCGGTGTGCTCTTGTGGTCGGACGAATAGTCGAAAGGAGAGCGGTGGCCCAGCGGCGAGCGGGAGTCGTAGGGCGAGGGCTGGTCGCGGGGAGAACGGGGCCCACTTGCCGAGGCCCGCTGCTCCGTCTGCCAGTCTGAGTGGTAGCGGTAAGACGAGCGGTGGTCCGAATGGGAGAGATCCTTCAGGTCCGGCCGGTGGTCTTTGCTGGAGCGTAACTCCTCCAGCTTCCTTTGCTTACCATCGCTGTAATGTCTACCACACACACACGCACACATACGAAGCCTGACTGTGAAGCACGTTCAAGATCGTTGCATGCCTGAACAATGAATCGAATTTAAATTAACATTGCAATGAAGTAAAATGCAATTTTGAAATGGCCAAGGCTGCCATTTCGAAACACGACACAAAACTGCTTAATTTCAGGTAAACCACCGCCATCATGGGTTCCAGGTTCACAGTCCTGCTATTTGGCAGAATTTTTTTTCTGGTGGCCACCGATTGCTTACAGGACGAGTGAAGTTCATCATCCATTTTCCAGAATGTAATTGGCAGTCGGTTAAAAGTGTCGTCATTAAGTGTTCACTTCAAATTACTTCCGCATATCTGGCATGACTTAACTGGAATTCATGTCAGGCCACTGGCGTGGTATCAGTGTCGTAGTCTCGGAGGATTTTATAAGTGCAGACATATGGCATTGGTGCATCCCTACTGTACATTGATATTGATGAAAAGGCTAATGGAGTCACCTAATTTCAAATTAAATACTTTTTATTATTACTATAATTTTGGGGGGTGAATTATGTAAGGCCACTTTGAATCAATACAAATTTAAGGTGTAGGTTATGCTACACATTCATTACAAACAAAAAAAGGCATTGTGTAAGGTTATTTATTTGGGGATATTTTTAACTTTAATCCAAATGACGTCTTATTTTAAAAAGGTAAACATAGGTAAAAAAAAAAAAATATATATATATATATATATATATATATATCTCTCTCTCAAGTAGGCAAAAAGAGATTTTAGTATTCACCTGTCCTGTCTGTCTCGATCCCTGCTGTCCGGTCGGTAGTGGTCTCGGTGGTCTTTGCCGTTGCTGAATGAGGAGTAGGGCCTTTTTCTGGATTCTGCAGTTTTCCTGGGGGCCTCTGAGCTGTGTTTCTCCTTGCTGCTGTCATGATAACGCGCCGATGGCTGATGCCTGTCTGAGCTATAACTGTCTCGACTGCTGTCATCCTGGTGAGAGTTGTCCCTCAGCCGTTCGATATCTGCGACAGAAAGCACAGAGTAAGAAATCGATTGCACAGTAGCGACAAGCTAATTTAATGCTGATTGCACAGGTCAATGAAATTCATAATTACCTGTGTGTTTAAAACCGATTGTGTTTGCACTCCTTGTGTTCTGCTCCATGGCCTATTATAAAAAATAAAAATGATTATGGGCCGATATGAAAATGTTGGAATGCAGGAATACTTGCAGGGTACCCCACCTGAGCGTTCTCTTGTCTTTTCTTGATGGCATGCTTATATAATTTATGCAATTTCCTGGCGTCAAACTCGGTGAATTTTGAAACAAATATCCACAGGTTTCTGTCAAAAGACAAACATTATCAGCCACAACTACGAGGGGGTTTGGATGACTCAGTTTACATGACAGAAATCACATTCACAATTCATAGTGCAGGTAACCAATGTTTTATTTAAAGTGAATCGCATTCATGTATTAATTACATATTTAATTTGCTCTAGGTCTCACTTCAGCAGCCATCTGAGTTTTTGTGTTTATTTGTTGCGGATATGTGAAGAGCAGGGGGGGGGCAGTGTTTCATTTTGAAGAACCGGAAGACTTTCTGTTCAATGACCGAATGAGAATAATGACAACAATAAAAGATATAGCGCAACGGCTCTGATCACAAGCTGCAATTGCAGACTGCTGAGCGCTAACAACTTCCGGTGACGCAGGACACACGCTAACGTAGGTTAACGATTTACCTGCTTCATTTCATTGTATTTTTTTAAAATACTTTTTGTGAAAAATGAGACTGATAGGATTATTAGGGTGCAGTGTACATTAACACTATATATATAAAACACTATATATATATATATATATATATATTACTAACATGCACAAAGACACACAAATGGTTGTTTTGTTTTGTTTTTTTCTCCTCGACACCCCTCGCGACCAATTTGGGAAGAGACCGCGATCTACCAGTCGATCGCGATCGACGTAATGGGCACCCCTGATTTAGTGGACGCATAGCGCAACCAGAGCCACTATTGTAGCTTCTATTCTATGCGCCTTATATTGCGGTGCGCCCTATATATGAAAAGAGTTGTAAAATAGGCTATTCATCGAAGGTCCACTTTATAATCCGTAGAGATTTACAGTACAGAAAAATACAGTAGTTTGGACTTGAGAGACCAAATTTGTATTCAGTCTCCCTGGCAAAATTGGTTCCCAACTTTGACTTTGTGTGGCCAAGAGACAAAGTGTGCTTACTTTCGCCATTGTTTGATGAGGTCAGGATTGGAATACTCCTTGAGACACTCCGTGATGTGGTCTCCAATCTTGATGAGACATTGCCTGGTGTGTTCGAGCTGCTCACGCTCAGAGAGACCCTTCTCCGGTCGGTCCAGCTGCTTAAGTGCTGCTTTCACCGGCCGCATTCTCTCTTTACACTGCAACATTCAAACACTTGCTAACTATTGCTACTCTTCGATCAGGAGTTGACTGGGTCACATTAACGTCATGTAATCAAGTTGAAACAAATCATACTGTAAAACCAGGAAAGTGTGAACATACCACGCTGAAGGTTTTCTGGTCCAGTTCTTCAGACTCCTCAGACAATGGAACATTCTCTCCACTTGCTGTTATGTGGACTGGCACATCAGGTGCTTTCTTTAGCCGTTCTCTGACCTCGGCTTTGCTTTCAGTCTGTTGAAAAAAACATCAATAACAATAATGTCCATTCATTGTGACCACTGTGTGTGTAATAATAATAATAATAATTTTAAAAAACATTTAAGTGTGTTCACCTTTTCCATGTTGTCCTCTTGTTTATGGACTGCTTCCAAAGGTTTAACTTCTTTTCTCTCTTTTGACTCCTTGTTGTCTTTACTGTCCCAACTGTCCTCCTTTTTCTCCTTTTTACAGTCTTTCTTTAGCTCCTCTTTATACTCCCTCTCACCAGATGAAGAGCCATCATCCTGTTGAGCCTCATCCTCTTCTTCCTCCTCCTCCTCCTCCTCATCTTCCTCCTCCTCCTGATTCTCTTCCTTTACGGTCTCTCTGTCTGTTCTGCTTCGTCCGCTCGGAGCCTTCACGGGCATCTCCTCCTGAAACAGACAATATCCCACATTCGTGCAAAAGCTTCCTTTTTGGGTGACAAGTGGTTAACATAACGGGATTTTCAGCGTACCTTTTCCTCCTCGATTTCATCCTCATCATCCGATCTTTTGTCCGATGGAGGATCTGAGGATGCACTCTTCATCATCTCATCTATCGGAGTTGACTTCATAGTTTCTCTCTTTTTGGATCTTGGCTTCCTCTTTCGAGAATTGACCTACAAATGCAAGGCGCGTTTCATCGAATGAATTAACGAATAAGTGAATGAAGACAACGTGTAAATGTCAGACATACTGAGCCTGCTTGTTTCTGAGCTTCTTTTTTGGCAAGGTCCTTGCTCAGTAACTTAATGAGGTAGTCTGCTCTGGTCTGGAGCTGCTTGGCTTGGGGTTTCTTATCAGGGTCATCTGGTAGGAGCTGTAACAAACAATTCATCATTTTCAGGAGAGAATATAAACGTTCTGGCGACAGCGAAAAGTCGACATAATTAATTGTAGCGATGGTGTAACCTCTAACGTGGAACCCGAGCCATTTTCTGACACGGGCCAACCTCCAATTGTTTTGGAATATGAAAAGTATCTCCCATGTGAAATGATTGCTTCTGAACTCTTGAATCTTGTTATCTTACTGATGCTCACCAGGGGTGAAACTAGTCCGTGTAATTTGAGTGCGTTCAATTTAAAAATATGCTCAATTAATGTTTTTCTACCTCAGGTACATTTGTGTGTGTGTCTAGTGTACATTGTCAGGAAAACAATACAGGCCAGCTGGAATAATTGTTCGTACAATGCAGGAGAGTGTGGCCAAAATGCTCACAAATGCGGGCACATTTTTCAGGAATGCGGGTAAAAATTTCATTCGGTCAGACAATGCGAGTGTATACTTTTATGCTCACTCTGCAGTTCACTGTTTATAATGTGGCTGAAAGTCACCATCCTTTTACACTGCCAGCCTCCTTCTGCACGGCATCTCCTTATCTATGGTGCATTCATAAGTATCAAGTGTGTTCTGCTCCACTCTGACCATTGGAAATCTGAGCGTTTTTCAAATGTGATGTTCGTTTTTTCGGAGTGCCCCGGAGAGTGCTCTGGCCACTCCAACAAGGGATAAGGGGCGGCCAATGCGTGAGGTAGTACAAATGGAAACAGTTCAAGCACGAGCTGATGACTGGTTATAATACAGAATGCATACGGGAATACCGTATTTTTACGACCATAAGATGCACATAAAAGTCTAACATTTGCTGCATACAATAATGCCTTGTGTATGCGCCGAGTTCCAAATCTGTGAATGCTGTTGTGTGACTTTGATGAAGGGTCCGCTTAACTGACTAATATTGTGCCGACACGTTACTTAAATTGAGAAAAGGCGGATATAAGTGAGGAAGGACAGCATACGGAAGTGGCAGGGTAGGATGTGAAAGAGAATGCTAAAAGGCACGCCCCCAGTAGGTGTGAATAGTGCAACAGGGATAGCATCTCTTCAAGCTGAAGTGAAGAACTCTCTGACTTCCATGCATGCTTTTGAGTGGGTATTAACTCATTCAGTACCAGCCAATTCTGGACCAAGTCTGAAAAGACATTTAAAAACGTCTTTGAGAGTGAATGAGTTAAAAAACCAAATGCATAAGCTCACTGCAGAAGTGAACCGAAAGATACTCGGCATTACCAGCCAAATCAAGGGGACGGCCAAATGAGTCAGGGCAAAGTATAATGGTAAAGTGTGCCGGCTCGTGGCGAAGCTGGTAGAGCGACACGGATTCAAATACCACTCTGTAGCTTTTTATGTTATGTATTTTTTCATTTTGTTGAAATGTTTTACGATGTGAACAATTGCAGCCGATCACGTGTTTACTAAAGAATTGAACAGTTATGCAGTTGGAATAATTTTAATGTAGCCTGTGACAAGTCTGCAGACCGGAAACAAAATTACGAGAGTGGCATTGCCCTCATGGACACAGCTGAAATCAGGAGCCAGTTTATCTGGAAACCACTTGAACCTTCACGTGGCAGTCTATACAGTACATGAAGAAGGTCTATTTTTTCCTGTTGAATGCAATACACACAACATAGGGCTTTTACTTACTCACGTGTATTACGTACCCAGATTGCTATGCTCACCTGTTGCCTACTTTTTTTGTGATTGCATATACCGTAAGTTCCGGGCTACAGACCGCACCTGATTAAGAGCCGCATGCTCAGATTTATGAAGAAAAATCAATTTTGTAATTATATGCGCCGCACCGTACTATAAACCGCTGGCCAATGAGTAGGCGGGGGTTTGCTTCTGCGTCCCTGCCGCCTGGAGCCGCCTCCGGCTGAGGCCGCTGACGCTGTCCCCCGCTGAACTCCCGCAGAAAAAAAACGCAAATTTCTTAAGGTTAAAATAATCTCCATATTTTTATGAGCATGATCAATGCATTTGCACAACGAAATTACGCTGAAACACCTAAGAGGCCAGACAAAGAGAGATCTCGATGCGCATTTGTGTAATTACGAGGAGAAATACTGCAGCCCACGAGGCTTTTTTATTTACAGTCCGAGTGAGAGGCAAATCAAATGTCAGAGGGTCTTCGTCCATATTTATTATTTCATCTAGGCTGATGGAATTCTCCGTCATCTTTCTTTGTGTCAATGTGCGGAACGAAGCAAGTTTGTCCTCGTAATTGGGAGGGAGCTGCTGACACAACGTCGTGTGTGCCCTAATAGTAGAGCTAAGATCGGTCCTAAAAAATCGAGCCCGACCCGACTCGGCCCGAGGGTATTTAAGCCCGACCCGGCCCGAGCCCGATCACTTAACTTGATTTGCAGGCCCGAGCCCGAAGCAAACCCGAGATTTCATATTTTATTTGTGAGGACTCGGGAGGAGGAGGGGTGATTTCTGATAACAAAGCCTGTCTTTTGGAAAGAAATCTAAGTTAAACAAGACTGGATAAACATTTACATCTTTTATATAAAGTTCCTGAAGAGGTTACATTAGCGGACAATTTTCCATCATTGACGGATTTTTTTT